GCATTTGCCATGAACATGGCTACGATGCAACAAAGTGTGGCCCAATTCCAAGAAACAACCAAGTCAAGCATCCACAACTTGGAAAGCCAAATGAGCCAAATCTCAAATGCCGTGAGTAGGCTTGAAGCTAAGGATTCGGCAAAACTCCCATCTCAAACGGAGCCGAATCCTAGGCAACAAGCTCATGCGGTCACTTTGAGAAGTGGCAAAGAATTGATTATGGCTAAGACAAAAGCAAAGAGCCATGTTGGAGAAGAAGAGGAGGATATCTTGGTGCCAAGCACAAATCCTCAAAATGAAGAGGAAAAAGAGGAAGAAATCACACCTCAAAGAAAGTTCCCACAGCTCGATTCATACGATTCGGTGCCACCTTTTCCGGAGGCTCTCAAGGACAACCGAAAGTACAACAATGACAAGGACATCTATGAGACCTTCAACAAATGTGAGATAAATATCCCTCTTCTCAATTTAATTAAAGGTGTTCCTAGATTTGCAAAGTTTTAAAAATAGCTTTGCACAATTAAAAGGAAACACAAATTAAATGGCAATAATAAAATCCAAGTGAGTGAAAGGGTGTCGGCCGTTTTTCAAAAGAAACTTCCTAAAAAGTATAGCGACCCGGGAATGTTCACTATACCATGTAAACTTGGAAATTCCAATTTTTCTAGGGCTATGTTAGATTTGGGTGCGTCAATTAATGTCATCCCATATTCTCTATATAAGTCCCTAGAACTGGGACCTTTACATGAAATGGGGGTTGTTATCCAACTTGCCGATAGATCCAATGCTTACCCGAAAGGTGTGGTAGAGAATGTACTCGTCATGGTGGACAATTTAATTTTTCCCACTGATTTTTACGTTCTAGAAATGGAGAACGATAAAAATGCAGTCCCTATTTTGCCAGGAAGACCCTTTTTGAAAACGGTCAAGGCAAAAATTGATGTTTTTAGTGGAATATTAACCATGGAGTTCGATGGTGAGAAAGTCGAATTTAATATCTACGACTCCATGAAATACCCTACCGATAATCACTCTCTTTTTGCCATTGACACTTGTGACACTTGGGTCCAAGATGTATTTGAAGTTGAGGGAAAAGATGAATTATTAAGCTCAATTGAAAATGATGTAGAGGATCTCACTTTGGAATACTCTATGTCAAATAACATGAAGGTTATGGTGGCGGAGTTAAATCAACTCCCACTTTTGCCACCGGGCTCTAAAGCCCTCCCACTAACCATTCCGAGCGAGAAACCGCTACCATCTGTTTTGCAGGCACCGGAGGTGGAATTAAAACCACTCCTGGAAAATTTGAAGCATTATGTGTTCTTGGGCGAAAATCACACTCTACCGGTGATTATCTCCAAAGCCTTAGCCCAAGAACAAGAAGAACAATTGATCGCGGTCCTCAAGGAGTACAAGTTGGCCATTGGATGGTCTATTGCCGACATCAAAGGCATTAGCCCATCCACATGCATGCACCGAATCCTACTCGAAGACGAGGCCAAAGCGGTGAGACAACCGCAAAGAAGATTGAACCCACCCATGATGGAGGTGGTAAAAAAGGAGGTGATCAAATTACTTCAAATGGGAATCATCTTTCCCATTTCCGATAGCAAATGGGTGAGCCCAACCCAAGTGGTGCCAAAGAAGACCGGAGTGACGGTCATTGAAAACAAAGATGGCGAAATGGTGCCCACCCGAGTTCAAAACGGGTGGCGAGTTTGCATTGACTACCGAAGGCTCAATTCGGTAACTAGAAAAGACTTCTTTCCATTGCCTTTCATTGATCAAATGCTAGAGAGGTTAGCGGGGCACAAGTTCTATTGTTTTCTTGATGGTTACACCAGGTATTTCCAAATACCAATAGCCCCGGAGGACCAAGAGAAAGCAACTTTCACATGCCCATTTGACACTTTTGCCTATCGAAGAATGCCGTTTGGATTATGCAACGCACCGGGCACCTTTCAAAGGTGCATGATGAGCATCTTTTCAGAATTTGTGGAGGTATTCATGGAAGTCTTTATGAATGATTTCACAATCCATGGGGACTCTTTTGACACTTGCCTCTATCATCTCACTCTTGTACTAAAAAGTTGTATTGAATCCAACATTGTTCTAAATTCTGAAAAATGCCACTTTATGGTGGAACAAGGGATTGTTCTCGGGCATGTGATCTCAGCAAAGGGGATCGAGGTGGATAAAGCTAAAATTGATGTGATTCAAACGCTCCCGTACCCCACAAATGTACGGGACATCCGTTCTTTCCTTGGTCACGCCGGTTTCTTTAGGAGATTCATCAAAGACTTCTCAAAAATTTCATCTACTCTATGCAAACTTTTGCAAAAAGAGGTTGAATTTGATCTCAATGATGAATGCAAAGAGGCTTTTGACACTTTGAAAGCAAGATTGGTGACTTCCCCAATCATACAAGCTCTCGATTGGTCTCTTCCTTTTGAGATCATGTGCGACGCAAGTGACTACGCGGTGGGGGCTGTTCTAGTCCAAAAGATCGGGAAGGCTGCTCATGTCATCTACTATGCCTCATCAACTCTCAATGAAGCACAAAAGAACTACTCCACCACCGAGAAAGAAATGCTAGCGGTGGTCTTTGCTTTGGAGAAATTTCGTTCCTATCTCCTGGGAACGAAAGTGATTGTATACACCGACCATGCCGCTCTCCGATTCCTAATGACAAAGAAGGAGGCCAAACCAAGACTCATTCGATGGGTCCTTCTATTGAGTGAGTTTGACATAGAAATCAAAGACAAGAAAGGAGCGGAGAACTTGGTGGCCGATCATCTAAGCCTCTTGGTTCCAAACAAAAAAATCGAAGGTCTCCATACAAATCTCATAAAAGGCGAATTTCCGGACGAGACTCTCTTCTCCATCAAAGTCATACAACCATGGTACGCAAATATCGTGAACTTCCTTGTTTCCGGCAAATTTCCTCCACAACTCTCAAAATCTCAAAAAGAAAAATTGAGAATGGATTCAAGACTCTATGTGTGGGATGACCCATATTTGTTGAAGCATTGTAAGGATCAAATAATCCGAAGATGCATCCCTGAATATGAGATAGCCCACATCACAGAGTTTTGTCATTCTTATGCTTGTGGAGGATATTTCGGCCCGAAACGAACAGCAATGAAGATACTTGAAAGTGGTTTTTGGTGGCCGAGCCTATTCCGGGATGCACTTGGCTTTTATCAATCTTGTGACAATTGCCAAAGAGCGGGCAACATTTCAAGGAGGAACGAGATGCCACAAAATCCCATGAATTTCTGTGAGATTTTCATTGCATGGGGTATTGACTTCATGGGACCTTTCCCAAACTCTAAAGGTAACATCTACATCCTTCTTGCGGTAGATTACGTCTCCAAATGGGTGGAGGCAAAAGCAACAAAGACTGATGATGCCAAGGTGGTGGCTAGTTTCCTCAAATCACACATATTTTCAAGGTTCGGGGTCCCTCGAATTTTAATAAGCGATCGAGGTACACATTTTTGTAATAAAATTGTGCGATCCCTACTAAAAAAATATGGCGTGAATCACAAGATCTCTACCGCTTACCACCCTCAAACCAATGGCCAAGCTGAAACCTCAAATAGGGAGTTGAAATCTATACTCCAGAAAACAGTGAACCCGAACCGGAAGGATTGGAGTATACGGATTGATGATGCACTTTGGGCATACCGAACGTCCTACAAAACTCCAATCGGTATGTCCCCTTATAGACTTGTGTTTGGCAAAGCGTGCCATCTTCCTGTAGAGCTAGAACACAAGTCATATTGGGCGGTGAAGGAATTCAACCTCAATCTTGACGAGGCCGGTGTGCATAGGAAGCTCCAATTGCAAGGATTGGAAGAACTCCGCTTGGATTCTCATGATAACGCAGAGATATACAAGAAAAAGATGAAGGAGTGTCACGATAAGATGATCATAAGAAAGGACTTTAAAATTGATGACAAAGTCCTCCTATTCCAATCACGCCTTCATCTATTTCCCGGAAAACTGAGATCTCGTTGGACTGGACCATACAAATGTTCAAAATATATCCACGCGGGGCGGTGGAAATTCAAGACCTGGAGACGGGAGAGATGCTCAAGGTAAACGGACAGAGATTAAAACCCTTCTTTGAGGGTTTTCAACCCAAAAAATGTAGAATTCATAGACCTTTCTGAACCGGTCTATGAATGAAGAGCAACAAAGATATCGTCGAGCCACAACGTTAAACAAAGCGCTTCATGGGGGGCAACCCATGCAAGGTATGTTTACTTTTTCAGTAGAGTGTGTGTGTGTTCAAAAAAAGGGGGGGGGGGGGTCTGGAGAACTCACCCGGCCGGGTACCTAATCACACCCGGTCGGGTCTACTATAAAAAAGGAAGTACCCGCACGATTACCCGGGTGGGGGAGCGAAATTTGAAAAATATTAAACAACCCGACCGGGTATTTTAACTCACTCGGCCGGGTATTGAAACCAGAGCCTTTTGTTTAAAAAAAATCGAGTTACCCGACCGGGTAATTAATTATACCCGACCGGGCAAACACACGAAAAACGCTCTGCCAGCCTCTGGAACACCAACCCGCCCGGGTAACCTATTGTACCCGACCGGGTAGTCGGGCTTTTCAGCCTATACCAGGTTGGGCACTACCCTCCCTCCCCACTTCATCTTCCAAATTTTCGAACAAACCTCCCTCAAAACCTCCATTTTCATAGCTCAAAAGCTCAAAACCCACTCATTTCTCCATCAAATCCATCAATTAACACCATATTCTTCATCTCCTCACCTCCCTCTTCCACCCTACACCCATTAATCCTTCCAAATTCTCCCAAATCAACCAACCCAAAAAAAACCCTACCCCCAAATTCTAACCCCTCCATTTTTGGACATCAAAGGTCCAAATACAAGCCAAAGATCACCAACAAACATCAAATACCTTTTCTCCTCATCATCCTCTACAAAACCATACCCATCAATCTCACCAAATCCTACCCAACCCAAAAATCCGAAAATCCCTCACCAAAAACACCAAAAAAAAACAAAAAATTTTCCAGCTCCATGGCACCGAAAAGGGGAAGAGCTTCTTCCTCAAGAGCTCCAAGGGCTATCCCACCGGTCGACGGCTTCGAGGAGGTGGATCTTGCATCCGAGGCACAACGCACCCGCTTTCTCGAACAATCCGAAAGAGAGGTAAAACACTCCCGATTTATGTGCCAATCGACCTTGACTTTCTTTTGGATTAATGATATTATGAGAGACATATTCACAAGGTGTGGCCTGCTGAAAATTTTTTATAGGCATTATTGGTCATATTCTCGTTTAATGTACGAATTCTACAGTTCCGTTGAGCATGTGAAAGATGAAAATGATTACACCAATAACACGATCAACTTTCAAATGCTCAATGAGAACCATTCACTCACTAAAAGAGAATTTGATGAGCACTTCGACCTACCCTGGCTTGATGAAACGGTCGCGTATAGTGCACCGGTGGACTATGAACTATGGAGAAGAATGACCGGACTTGTCAATGTTCGTACTTCCCACCTCAATGTCAACCACGTCCAACACCCGGTCTTCCGAATTTTCTTAAAATTCTTGGCCAATTGCTTTTTCGTGAGACCAAACAACCATCAAACTAGAGTGTCGGATGTTTGCCTCTTAGCACAAGCTGTTCTTCCAGGCGCCGGCCCGTACGATGTCACCACAGTTCTTTGGGATCACATTATCAATGTTAAAAATGGTTGAGGGAAAATTCTGGAAGGGGGGTCTAATTACCCACATTGCAACACTATAATGGTTTTGAATGCAATGGTGCACAAAACCACAGAACCTTTCTTGGCCTTCAGTTTTTAAAGAATGCGGGGGATGTGACCCTCTCACACATAGAACATGATGGTCTGGAGATTTATCATTGGCACATCAAACCCGGCCAAGAACTATACCACCCCTTCCCTTCCGATAATCTCCCGCTTAACATCATCGATCACCAAATCGGTGATGGACACCATTATTGTCTGCCTGGGGGGATCCCACCACATTATGCACCCCCAACGAACCGGAGAACAATGAAGACGACAACGCCACCAACGAACTGCCCGAAATTCAGCCGCCACCTCTCATTCCTGAACAACCGCAACCACAACCCAATGCTCACCCATATTCACCATTTGAGCAACAAATGTTAAATAACATGAATGCTCTAAACCTAAACTACACTCAACTTCGGGAGGAAGTTGCATTACAAAGACAAGCGGACCGGCAGAGATACGAAGAAGATCGGAGGAGAGATCAGGAGGACTATAGGAGGACTTTTGGCCCTATCTACTCCTATGTGGCAAAACAGGGTGACTTTGCATCGATGACCACTCCTCCAGCACCCTCGTGGTATAACCCCACTGAATGGGGTTATTTTGGCGGTTCAAGCTCTAGTGGTAGAGACGGGGATGACGGGCACGGCGGGGATCACATGGATGAGGATACACACCTTAGAGGCTACCATGGCTACGGCGGATTTTTATATGGCGGAGATGCAAGCGGGCACTAGGGACGGTGCCATGAACTAGCGGTGGGGGAGATTGTTCTGGTATGCTCACAATCCTACTCTTTTCATTTTAAATTTAAAAAAAAAAAACACTGAATAAGCTTGTTGAGTTGAAAACCCAAAAAGGGCGACTAAGCAAAAATAAAAGCAATAAAATAAGAGTGAGATTGTGAGAATTAAAAGAAAAATGTGGGAAGCTGGGATGAAAACCTGAAAGGGCACCTAGGCAAAACGAGAGAATGAGAGAAAATATTTCTTTTTATTTTGCAGGATCGTGAAGGTGAGAAACTTAGAAAAGAAATGGAGATAAAGATGAATTTGAAGACCCCTGTTTACTTTATTCACTTTTGGGGATGCTTTCTAATTGTTTTGTGTTTCTAAAAACACTTTGTGATGGTTGTGTTGATGAACTTATCATTTTTTTGGATTTCTTGAATTGCATTTACTCGAGACGAGTAAAGATTCAAGTGTGGGGATATTTGATATGCACTAGTTTATAGTGCATAAATGTATGTTTTCATTTTGATTTTGTGTGGTTTTTCTATCATTTTTAGTTAGTTTGTAAGCATTTGTTTTATTCTGTTTGTAATTACCTTTAGCTTCCATTTATAGTTGTAGAATAAGTAGTAGAGTTTTTAGCAAGGAAAAGGAGAAAAAGCTGAAGATAAAAATGCCCAGGAGCAAAAAACCCGGTCAGGTCAGACCCTGAACCCGGCCGGGTCTAAGTTGAAAATCGGATCTGAGGAAAGAGACAGACCCGGTCGGGTCCCCTACTTGACCCGGTCGGGTCAGATGTGACCCGGAACACCAGAACATGCCGAAGATCGCCAGAATGTGGAAAATATCTGATTTTGACCAAACCCGGTCGGGTCAACTAAGCCACCCGGTCGGGTCTGACTTGACCCGGGACAAAACGACGTGCTGAAAACACAAGAACGTGGGAAATATTTGATTTTGACATTTACCCCGGTCGGGTAAATGCCCCAGGGTGTTGAAAACACCTATAAATAGCCCCATTTTCCTTCACATTTCATCATCCCTTCTTCCATATACTTAAGCTCAGTTTAGAATAGTTATTTCTTATATTTTTATAGCATGTTTAGTCTCCAAATGAGGAGCTAAACTTCCATTTCTTGGTTTTGCTCTTGAAGCTTGTTGTTTATTAAAGTTGTGAGTTATTTTCTTACTTTCTCCTCTTGATTATTAATTCCTCCCTTAATCTCATTCTATATTAATGTTGGAGGGTTGATAAGTGAAGATTAGTTAACGTTCCGACATTAATTATTACTAGAAACGATCAACGAACCGATGGTTAATCGTTGATGGTTTCACAAGTAAGTAACTTCAGTTTATTAATGCACGGTCGTGGTTAATAAACTTAAGAGGGATTAATTTTGTTGGTTAAACCGAAACCGTTGTGTTGAGGTTATCAATCTCAATTGATTTCATCAAGGAGTTAAAGAGGTTAAATGCTACTATTATATCGGTATACGGCGTTGTTCTATATTTGATTAATAGTAAGGGTTATTAATGAACGGTCGTTGTTAATAACTACCCTCGATGAATTGGAGATACTCCGCGATTGAGTATTCGAGAGGGGATAAGTTATAGATATAACAATGATTGACTAAAATATATCAACAAGTGGAAAGTAGCAAGACCAAGTCCCTTCTATTCTTGAATTTAATCCCATATTACTCGTTCATCTTCGTGTTTAATTTAATCAAATCACTCAATCAACCCCCCCCCCCCCCCTATTTACTAATTACATAAAAAGAGAGTTATTCCTTTCCATGTGGATACGAACTCTACGACGCTATACTACATATAGTTGTTAGTATCGAATTATTTTGAGTGCACACACGACAAAGTGCACGTCAATTAACAAGCGTACTCGTCGATCGATTGTAGTGATAATTAATATATGAAACAAAACTAGTTGATCCTTTAAGTAATGTTCAAAATATTAATATAAAATATGAATAGGAATTTATTAATATTCAAGGAAGAATATTAAAGATGATAAATCCTACTATAACTAATGTCAAGATGCTAACTAAATGTCATCTTAGCAACACTCCCCAACATTAATATAGAGGAAGTAAATGAATACTACTATAACTAATGTCAAGATGTTAACTAATTGTCATCTTAGTAACACTCCCCAACATTAATATATAGATAGATTAAAGGAAGAATTAATATTCAAGGAAGATGATTAAAGAAAATAACTCACAACTTTGATAATCAACAAGTTTCAAGAGCAACACCAAGAAATGGAAGTTTAGCTCCTCATTTGGAGACTAAACATGCTATAAAAATATAAAATATACTATCGTAAATACTATTCTAAGTTGAGCTTAAGAGTATGGAAGGAGTAAAAAATAGTGAAGGAAAAGTGTGCTATTTATAGGTGTTTTTCAACACCTTTGGCCGGGTACCCGACCAGGTCAAGTACCCACCCGACCAGGTGCATGTCAAAATCAAATAATCCGTCATGTTCTCATGTTTCTGCACGTCGTTTTGTCCCGGGTCATGTCTGACCCGACCGGGTGGCATATGGCACCCGACCGGGTCAGGCAATTTCCTTGCTTCTTCGGTTGTTAAATCTTACCCGACCGGGTGAGGATTTCTACCTGGTCGGGTTTTGCTCCTGGGCAGTCAAATTTCTTGTTTTCTTCTCTTCAAAGTCCTCTTTTCCAACACCATAAATCCTAAATCTACTTTACAACTTATAAATGAAGATTAAAATACAATTACAACTAAAATCACACAAATGTTTACAAACTAAATAAAACGATAAACAATACACACAAATCAAATATAAAAATGGGGTGGTTTTTCCTTACTAACAGCGCTCAAATTTTCACTTGCAATTCTCCTCAATTTTCTTAAGAAAAATGTAGTATATTAACTATTTAGATTAGATTTGATGCTCTTGTATCATCAATTATTCAATTATCAATTTAGAAGATGAAAACGTAACCTCTAACTGCTCTAAGTAGAACAAATTGCATCAGAATTGCAGTCCATTCAAGTGTAATTGAATACTCCGTATGTGTTTAGTTTTGCAATAATAGACAAGAAATGTTTGATGGTCTTCATGTTTATTTTGTTGTGACAATGATAATATTATGACTCCATAACAGACAACAATGATAAAAGATGCTTAGCTGCTGGTCATTTAAGTGTTAACAGAGCTTTTTTATATGCCTTTTTTCATATCAACAACAACTATTCATACAAGTGATAACGGAGCTTTTAAGTGCCTTTTTCAGATTTTAATGTGGTGCTATCAATTGGCAATTATCAGAAAATTCAAGATACTTGTTGCACATTGCAATTGATTTGGTTAAGCAATAGAAGAAAAAGCAATGATTTGAAAGAGGATATAGATGAAAAAGCAATGCATTATATTGGACTGAGCTTAAGCAAAGTAATGCTATTGGTGGCATCTATCTTTAATGAAGTTGATCAATAGTTTAGGTTACTTAGTCTTTGCATGTTTTATTTTAAGATTTCATACTATATAAGTATATTTTCTATTTAATTAGTATGGGTAAAAAGTTTGAATCTTTTGTAGCTTTTTCTTATCCCGTGGCATTGTGGGACGATTTGAAATGGCAGACCTTTCTTATTATTCATCTTTATCTTTATGGCAAGTATTATGATATGAATTGTCAAAGCTATCTTTGATTCCATGTACTAAGTATCATTTAAAGCCCCTATTCTGATTCTCTTATTGATGGTCTTGTTTTTACAGGAATTGCTACTTGTTCACTGCAATGATGAACTAAAATGATTAACTTAGCTGCAGTTTTTAACTCAACATTTATCTTGTAGGAGTAAAAGAATCAGGATGTGTTGTTTAACCAAAGTTTAAAAAAAATAAAGATTAGCTCCAACAACTAGCATGT